ACACATTATTGTATATATCAAATAAAAAATTATTGCGCTTGCATGTTAAAAATTTAATTGTTTGGATGGGTGGGTGAGGAGGTCTTTGTGTAGCGAAGTCAAGTTCAGAAAAGTTGAAAAGGGAAACAATTAAAAAAAAAAAAAAGATTGGACTCATTTAGGTCCAAAAGCCTATTTAACAATTAGGAATATGTGAAAAAAATAATAAATATATTTTTATTATAAATATATTTTTAAAAAATAAAAATTAAGTTATTAATTTATTACTTATTTAATTAAATTTATTTATATTTTTAAATAATATTATCATGAGACGGATTGAATTCACCCAAAAAAAAAAAAGAAATACATATTAAGGCGACCAAAAATCACTTGGTCCCTAGGTCAGGTGCAATTAAATTTATTTGTTTAATATTTATAGTAAAATTAATATTAATTTTTATATTATATTATATATATATATAGGATAAAAAGATAAACTAAACATTTGAAGTAAGTCGCAAGGCTCGGTTGACAATTTTATTATTTTTATTATATCATTGGATAGAGGCAATTCGTTTAGGCCCGCCTCAGTTAGATCAATGGATGGCAAAAGCCCAGAATCAATTTCGATCTGACGTGGCAAGATAAAAACAAATATATATATATATATATATATATATCTCCTTTCCTCTCCTCTGTACCCAGTGAAAAAAAAAAAAAATCCCAACATCCGATCAACAAGCCCTTACTTTTCTTCAAGTTCGTGGCAAAATAGTTCTGCAACGACTATCTCTTCTCTGCTTCATCCCTTGCCCCCAGAACTTGTCCTCGCTTTCTCTCTTACGCCCCACTTCCTCTTCCTCCCCCTCAATTTTCCGTCCATTCGCTCTACCTTCCTTCAAAACGGCCTTCCACCCAATAAGAGCTCTGAGAGAGTGGCAAGAGTACGAGGGGGCAGTGAAGCGCAAGGACCTTACCAGAGTTCTCAGGTTCTTGAAATCAATTGAGAAAGACAATGATGACCCAGTTGAGGAGAAGTTCAAACATGGTTCTTTGTCTATTGAATCGCGTCGGCCCCAACTCGGAGAGCTGGGTTTTGTTGTTGGGTTAGAGAGGGATTGGGAGGTCTTGGATACTTGTTTGAGTTCTAGTGATATGAGACTTGTGGGTAGTGCTTATGGGTTTCTAAAGGACCGAGGGTTCTTGCCCAATTTTG